GCCCTTTATTATGCTCTCTATATACGGACCGACGCTACCTCCAGATGTCCCCGACGGGGCCGTTGTCTCCGACGAGAAGACCAATTTTCCCGATGGGAGCATAAGTGGGCAGCCCTGGAAATTCCGACAGTAAGAGACTTGAAAAGATTATAAAAACGATTATATATTCTTATCCTACACCTCGACAACCATAAGTATATTAAAATGATTTATTTTGAAGTACACTCGCGTGTCGATGCGCCAGACCACTCCATGGATGGATACTGACGCACAACAAAGTCTCCATATTTATTATTGAATTTAGTACCTACGCAAACCATTGCTGGTTGTTAAATTGAGATATTTTCGGAAAATTAAAGACGTTGAAACATTCCTCAGTAAAATCTCATAAACGCAAGCAATAAGTTATATTGTAGGCCTAATTACATCAATATCGTCAACTTTGCCCTCACCTCATCACCTGTTTGAAGTTTGAATCGGTATGAACTATCATAATCTAAACAAGTATTCAAAGAAGTTGCTGAACTTCGTATGTGACCGGAATTTTTTCAAGATAATTACAGAATAAATGAATAATGTGTACACTGTACATTAATGTTGTTAAAACAACAAATGCGATTTATTGCTATGCATTTTAAACTTAGTCATTCCGTCTTATCACCTTCTGCATTAACTGGTTTCTTTCATTGTCGGAAAATGAGCAGAATCACTCGGATTCGCTAGATAACAGGCAGCAAGGACAAAAATGCTAGGTCGATTGTTTATGCAACTTCAAAAAGATCTAACTGACACACATTTTCTAAATGCCGAGTAAATATTATTATAAGTCTGTGTGGTCGTGCCCGTAGTCAAAATAATATAAATGTGTTTGATATGAAGGGACGAAAACACGAAGGCTGATGGTAGCTTAAGATGCCATATTTTACAGATAAATTACATTTAAAATATTCATACTTTTGTCAGTCCCTCACAAGTTTGAAATATTGCTTTTAAATGAACCACCTTATACAGTATAAGATATACGGTAAGTAATATATATAGGTCTCCTCTTATACACATCT